AACCGATCGATCTCAATTGAAAATTTCTTACAATAATCAGTTCAAAATGTATTGTTTTATTTTTCAAATAAAATATACAAGCTAATTACAATTTAAAAAGTACACTAATTACAATTTAAAGTTACATTAATTACAATTTAAAAAGTACATTAATTACAATTTAAAAAGTACATTAATTACAATTTAAAAAGTACGTTAATTACTGTTTATAAGTATTCGCATGGGTCTAAATCATGTGAATTTAAAAATCACATGATTTTCATATAGACCCGTGCAATAAGTAAACGAAAAAAAGCACGGGTTGTTACATAAGACCCGTACGATAAAACGTTGTTACAATTATTAGATTGTTGTTTTCAAAGTAACAAGATTATATTTAACTAAATAAGTGGTAAGCTTTAAGTTGTATTTTATAATCATAAAAGTTAAATAGCTAAAAATACACTAGAAGTTAGTCCATCGTAAGCCGCAGAAAAATAAATATTTTACTACACATTTTAAAAAAATTTACAAATTTTATCAATAATTATTTTTTTAACTAATTATTTATTATATTATACTAATTTATTTGTATTCTTATAGAAAACAAAATATTATAAGCATTTTATCCTTGTATTTTTTTTTTACAAGTTGGCTCTAATAGAAGATAACTACTTCTAGTCAAGATCTTTATAATATTGATACTGATACAATTGATTATATTAATATATTGGATAGTATATATTTATATCCAGATCAAGAATATGAATTACTTGATAATAAGAGTAGTTGTAGTTTTATGGATTATTCTTATAAAATACTTGAAACACTTAATACAGATAGTAGTGAAAATAATCATTAATATTCAGATACATTTAGTAATAAAGTGGCATATTAAATAGCATTAGATTATTTAGAACATTATCTAATAATAATAAAATATGTAGTAATATCAATTGGTTATCTAGTGATTTAGATAAATTAACAGATACAGAATCATCATGTAGTTTTTCATTATTTGTAAAAGAAAATGAAACAGATTATAAAATTAAAGATAATAAGCAGTCTAACAATAGTAAAAACAAGATTAAACAATGTGTGATTACAGAAATAAAAGATGGTAAACTAAAACATTGTTTAAATAAAACTTATAGACAAATTAAACAAATTATAAGAATGTAAAAATTGGATTATAAACCTATTAAAAAATGCTTAAAAACAATAGTAAGGATATTTTAAATTTATTAGGAGTTTGTAGTACAGTATAACCTCGATATAACAAACCTCAATATAATGATAATGAAGATTATTTCTAATTTTTGTATTTAAATTAGCCCTGATATAACAAAATTACTAATAAAGATTTGATATAATGAAATTACTAATAAAGATTTGATATAACGAAATTACTAATAAAGATTTGATATAATGAAGAAAATCTCTAGCTTTAGAGCTTCATTATATCGAGGTTATACTGTAATCACTTTAATTTTGACCAGGATAGTTTATATCTATGTGGTTCAAAAGCTCTTATATTTATTTAAAAAAAACTAAATTTACAAATATCATTATCATTTTTGCTATAAAGACAAATTTTTTTAGTCAAGGTAGAAAATGTATTTATTATTATTAAAATATTTTAAATAAGAATATACAGATACTATATCAGAATATAAAAGTTTGTTCAGCTTTTAATTAAAGCAAATATATTATATAATCAATAAATGAAAAATCATCTCACTATATTTGTTCTGTATATTTTAATTCAAAAAGTGGATATTTTTTTAAAGACAAAGCAGAGAAGCAAGACTATTTATCTATAAGAATTTGCATGTTAATAATAGTTCTAAAACTTTTGAGCTTTTAGAAAATTAGATTTTAAATATCATTATATCTTCTGATCAACTTTTAAAGATATTTTTGTAAAAAAGTTTTTTAAAATATTTAATTAATTTTACTTAAAAAAGGATTTATAAAAATGAATCAAGAGTGTGGTAACTTAGTGAAGTTAGTAAGTTGTCGCACCTCCAAGTAGCAGAACAAAAGTTTAAATCCCACTGGCAACAAAATTTAAATTTTATAGAATGTGTTATAGCAGAGTGTATGTAATTTGATGAATCATCAGATTTGTAGCTTTGGTTGTACTAACTTGTATTAGGAGGCTTTGAAACATTTAGTATGATGTATAAGTTACACAAAATCTGAGTAAAGCAGTTGGGTAAATCTAAAGGCTAGAGCACACAAAAGCCCGCTTAACAAGTCCTGAGTAAAAAGTTAGCACAAACTTTTAATAGTATTACATAAAAGATTATTAACTAAAGAACTAAAAACCAAACAGGACTGAGGTGTTTAGCAATACACTATACCAATCAGGCTGCTGGTGTATACTGCGAAGAGATCTACTCTTCTGAGCTATCTGGATTGGGAGTTTAGAGAACCGAAGAAATGATAGATGGTTTATAAAGTAGGTGCTGAGGTTTGGGTGAACTCTACAAAGGCAAAAGTAGGTAATAGTAGCAGCTTTGACTTGCAAATACTTGTTCTTAGACTTGGTATAAGTTACCAAAAGTCTAGGTTAGCCGGATTGTGTGTATAAAAAGCTCTAACAACAATGTCTTAAGGATAAATTAGTCCTAAGGCTAAGGTATACATCTAGAACTTTTTGACTAACAAATATAACGAAGATATTCTAGTGATACAAGGAGGTTGTGTATATTACAGAGAGTATATATTACAGAGAGTTTAAATAGATAATCCTCTAGTTGGGTTATAGATATAGCAGCTAGTATAGAACCTATAATATACAGGTATCTATATGCAAACTATTTAAATAGACAACTAAAAGTTGTATATATAGCTAGTTGTACTCTCTAATGTAATTGAAGTTTTGCTATAAGCTCCTTATTCGGTATACTTATATAAAATCCTTATGCCAAAGAGACTAGTTAATAAAAAAATAAAAAAAAAGAATCATATTCTACTTCAGCAAATTAGCCTAATATACAAATATTAAAATTTAACTTTCTTATAGCAACAAAAATTACTATGCAATTAAAAAAAAATTAATTATCAAGTTTTTTTGAAACAGAAAGTTATTTAAAAATTATTAAAGAACAATTAAAAAAACTTGAAAAGCTTTAGGATATACTATTTAGAAAGTATATTTAAAAAATTATGAAAATAAAATAAATTTAAAAAATTTACAATCTTTAAACTTATATTATAATGAATTTTCTAATTTTTTAATTGGTAATTCACTAGTCAACCAAAGAGGATTAGCAAATTTTATAAGTAAATTTTACTATTAGTCCAAATGTGAAGCTAATAGTAATAAAAATATTAAAATCAGCCTGGTGGTTTTTGAAAAATCTTTAAAAAATGTTTCATTTACATATAAAATTTCTTTAAAAAAAATTAATTTTTTTTAAAGAAATTTTATATGTAGATGAAATGTTTTTTAGACATAGTGTAATCAATCAACTCTTTCCGCTAATCATCAAAACACAAATTTTCTGAAACACAAAATTAATAAAAACTGCGAAAGACACAAAAAGCTACTAAAAAATAAATCTCGGAGCTCTAAGAAAAGAAGAAGAGGACTACAAGAAACATTCAGTCTCTTAGAAGACTTGAGTAAAAGGAACAGAAGTAGCAAAGAAATAGAAGAAGTTGTGAAAAGTCGTCGATATTTTTTTGCACTT